AAGTTACTAAGTTATTGTCAAGTGGCAAGTAATTGTACGATTGATTCTAGAATTAATCCAAATTTTTAAATCATATTAGAAATACTGAAACAAATCAAATTTTCAAATGAAACCCGAAGGAAAAATAGAAAATTTTGAAGTAAACACTATAGAGAGTGTGGGAATAGCTACCATGATCGATTTCCACCTTGGTTAAGCGTCTCATGAAATGGCTTAAACAAATCTAAATTCCAATGAATCCAAATTCGTAGAGAAATTTCATTGTTACTCCGAATAGTAATAGGAAATTCATATAATAGTAGTGTGAATAGGTACCATGATCTAGATTTGTCTACAAGTACGCAGATCATCAGATGGCAAATAATCTATATGATTACGAAAATCACAAGACCAATTTGAAACTGATATATATTTATATATAAGAAATATAGATATATATTGATAAAAACTAATCATAGTGGTGAGTACAAGCTACCATAATCTAGATTTCACTACAACTACGCAGATCATCAGATGGCAAATAATCTATATGATTACGAAAATCACAAGACCAATTTATAACTGCCATATATTATACAGGTAGGCTCTGATATTCATGCGTTGATTAAGACGGAAAATAGTAATTCCATTTGGAAGTCATTGATGAAAAATGATAGTAGTAATCGAAATAGTCGTGGGAGGTATACTTATGTTCAGTGATTCTTCTTCCAAATATTCTCTGGAGTAGTTTAAAGGAGTGCTGGAAAACAGTGTCTTACCCTTTCTCTATCTATTTGTGATTGGTTGCATTTCGTACTGTTTCTGATTTCATAGATTTTGAATTGTTTGCAATAGGATTACGTGTTCGACGATTTTAATCAATATTAAAATAGGAATCGATAGTGTTGCATGGACTCGGAACTGTTTAATTTGGAATTGAATGATTTTTGGACTTATGGATATATTTGTATGACATCTCGACGGAATCATGGGTTTGGTGTAGAAATGATAGATGTTCCAGTAAAATTGTGTTCCAAAGTCGGTCGATTAACGATGCCACTTGTATTTAATGTTAAAGTGTATCTAGAAGAAAGACTAAATCAATGAATTTACAGTTATGTTTGGTTAGTATATTGAAAGATAACAGAGGAGAAATATGAAACGAAAATTAGATCCTGAGTAACATATGAGTTCGATATAATTATGAGGAACCCACAGACTATTCTATTTTAAATAAAAGAAACCAAAAGTACATGAAAACAATACATAAAAAATTCTGTAGATTGTTAAATATGCATATTACAGAAAACAGCAAAATCCGAATAAAACTTAACATAGATGTAAATACTTTTTCCGAATATTGTTTGGATCATGGAGAACAGTATCATACGGTAGTTTATCAATGGAAGATTCAAGGTGGGAAGACTGAAAAGGAGATCTATGTTCTTGTGCTTGAATTAATGTATGATTTACTCAGCACCACTAGTCTTAAGTTCATCATCGGAAACAATCGTAGAACTGCTTGATATTTGATTTTCATCATTAGTCGGAACCAATGGCTTCTTATAAAAGTATTCATTGGAACCTATATTTCGTAGATTATAAATAATATAGAAAGAAGGTTCATTAGATAAATAGGAAAAACATTTTGAACATCGATTACCCATTCGAAAGATAACACTTCGTTTGCTCCAAAATTCTGCCACATGTCGTTCGTCATCGGTTGTTGGTTCCCGTCTTAATGAACCTTCAGGTGGACCTGGATTTAAAAGAACAATGGCCGGTTGTCGAATGTTAATTTCCACACTTTTCTTATATTTATCAGTTGCCTGCATATACATATATAGTTAAAATTTGTAAAAAAAATATATGTAAAGTTTCAAAACAAATAGGATTAAAAAAAAAAGAAAAAATTTGGAAGAGAGTATTTCACTTACATTTGTAAGACCATTTTGTGTAAAAAGATCCTTTTTATCAGGAAAGCCCTTGTCTTCGAATTTGTCCCAATCGATGTCATCAAAGATTGAGTAATTTGCATAATCATTCCAACCATCGAGTCGCCATCGACCTTTGAAATAATTGTAACGACCCGATAATGATTTAGCAAAGGATGTTTTGCCTGTGCCCGTAGGTCCAATTAAAATCAAACATTTAGCTCGGGATTTACGTTTCAAATGATGTCTTATCCAACGGTTGACGACTGCACCTGAAATACTCAAATGGAAATAGATTTAGAAAGAAATCAATCTTTATGTTCGGCATAATTTCTTGAACATAATAAAGAAAAAGAAACAAAAAAGAATATCTTTCTATCGATTGTCAACTCACGTAGACCTGGAGTACAATCCGGAAATGAATCAGGCCATGTATATTCTTTAGGGCGAATGTTAATACCAGTTCGATCCATTTCGTGTTGTGCACGTAGATGTATATATTTAAAAGCAGTCTCATACCTAAGATAGAATAAGGATATATCGTAAAAGTAGAGGTGAAAAAATTCATTTTCAAAAAATTCAAACCATTGAGAATGATTAAGAAAATCCCATGGTCGAGCTTTTTGGATGAAATCCATTGCATCGTAAACGTTTATTTTTGCTATATCAAAAGCTTCTGATGCGATGGCATTTTTTCTTTGCTGGTTGTCGTCAATTTTCGATCGGACATTTGTTGTTGCCGTTGGTGCTCCTCTTGGTACTGATGTTTGATTGTGATCTCTTGAGTGTGTTGTTGTGAATGAAGATGGTGATGATGGCCATTGTTTTTCAGCCCATGATGTTGTTGATTTAAAGGTTCCAAATTCAATGAAATTGTGTTGTTTCTTTATATATTCGTTCCATGCACGATCATTATCTGTCACTTGATAATTACAGTGTGTCTCTATTTGAGCAAAACAAAAAGGGAAATGAAATAAAGGGATTCTTTTCTCTTGAAAGTCATCTTGTAAAATTTGAAACTCAAATTTGACGAAAATTTCGAACGCGAAGTTTCATATTTGAAGGTATCAATTGAATGCCTACGGAAAGAAACACGCCTTGGAAATCCCTTCGTGACACCCACATCGAACGATACTGATTGAATAGATAGTTCTTTTGGTTCAGAATTAGAAATTGTAAAAATAAATTCCATTGAAAATTCGAATTGGTCATATATATAATATATCCAGTGATAAAGAATATTTGAATCTATTTCCAATTTAGTCTAATGTATCTTACGTACTTGTAATATCATCGAGAAACCATGTTTTTTTATCTTTTCTTTCTTTGAGAATTATTTGTATATGAAGATGAGGTCTATTATTAAGATCGCCTGTTTCTTGTGCTACGCATACATATTGAAGGTATTCAATGCCAAATTGTCGTTTAATTTCAGCCATCACTGTCTCTCCTAGATATCCATAAAAACAAACAAATAAATTAGAAAAAAAATGTTTTTTTTCAGCGTACTTGAAACATGTGTCCAAGCAGTGATTGCCCATGTTTTGGGAGCTCTTCGAACGGGTCCATGAGGTGGTTTGGGTTCATTAGGATCAGTAGTTGCAAGATTAAAATTGAGTTCTTTAGCGATAGTTGTAGCATCTAAAGATATATGTATATACCAGGGCTGCCATCTGTACCCCATTTCGGGGTACAGTACCCCATTTTAACGTTTTGTACCTCAAAAAGATTTGTACCTCAGAGGTACAAAATTTGTACCCCATTTGGACAATTTCCTTTTGCATAAGATTAAAATCATATTTTGTTAAAATCGATAAACTTATTGACTGTAGTTGACATCTTCATTTAAATAGTAGAGATACGAAGAGTCAATTACATTGGCTGATTCATAACCAATACAGGACTTTGTTATTCTTAGCATTGGTGTTTCCTTCTCTTTTGCAATTTGAATCTCACGATCGAAATTAAATCGTGTTTCTAATCGATTATAGTTTTCTATTAAAAGAATTCATATATATTTATTGCAAAATACCGAGGAATTATTGTAGATTTTAGTTATGCAGCAAATGAACAACGATAATTCTATTGAACTAGATATTGAAGTCATTGAGGAAGAGAATGATTCCATGACACTCGAATTTGAAAAATCAATAACACCAAAAGAAACATCAAGTTCTATGTCTAGATTATCTTTCAATATAGAAAGAAAGTCATTGAATTCTTCATCAAAATCAAAAAGATATTGCAAGTTCAACAAAGAATGGATTAAAATTTCGAAATATGCATCATTTTTACAAGAGTGTCGAACAGATTCATCACTTGCACATTGTTCTGTGTGTAAATCGAATTTTTCAATTGCTAATGGTGGGAAGTATTTGATCGATCGTCATCTTGAACAAGCGAATCACAAGCGTCTAGTAGCAGCAGAAGCTAAACACAAATGTAATTTAGTTTGGTCTTAATTCAAAAGAATACTGATTATGTTGATCTATTGTCTTTTAGCACATTCAATGTTTGATTTTATTCCTCACTCGACTGAATTGACAAAGTTGGTTGCTGCTGAAATCACATTAGTTTATCACGGAATACGTCATGGACATAGCTATTTGAGTCAGGCATGCACTGCTGATGTCTCGAAGAAATTGTTTCAAGATTCAACTATTGGAAAAAATCTCACATGTGGACGAACTACAGCTCGTGAAATTGCTGCTAATGTTTTAGGTGAGTAATAATTCTTTTCTAAAGCAGAAGTATACTGACCAATTAGAGAAGAAGAGTAAAGATCGTTCGATGAATATTTCTTATTAATATTTCTTATTTTTTTACGATCTTTTTTTAGCTCCATTTATGACTTCTCAAATTTCAAAAATGATTAATAAATCCGGTTTTTATTCTTTATCATTCGATGCATCTAACAAAGGTCACAAGAAAATGTTTCCATTTGTTGTAAATTACTTCACAGTTCGTGGTATCGAACGATCAGTGATTGAAGTAATTGAACTAGTTAATGAAACAGCTGATCATATTGTTGCTTCACTTCGAGAAGTATTGCAAATGAATAATATTGATATTCAGAATATGACATCAATTGGTGCTGATAATACAAACGTTAATTATGGACGAATTCATTCTGTTTTTTCTTTGTTGAAATCTGATATTCCACATCTAAAGAAAGGTGTTTTGCTATTGAAGAAAAATACACATGTCCCTAATAATAATGTTTTCTTCTAGGAAATTGTTTTTCACATGTCCTAAATAATGCAGTTAAAACTTCACATATACACTTGGTCATTGATGTTGAATCAATTTTGTCAAAACTCTATGGTCACTTTTCTTCTTCAACAAAACGAGTAGAAACTCTCAAAGAGTACTTTGATTTTGTCGAGCAAGATCATTTAGTAAAGCATATATCATATTATTAATAGTCATCAATTTTTTTTATATTCAGTTATTATTGAAACACATCAATATTCGTTGGCTTAGCCTATATCCGTCTATTGAACGATTACTCAAAGTATTTGATCCATTATCTGCTTATTTTTTGGATTTGGGTGACGAAGATGCTTTTCCATGTCCACCAATAATTTCAATGTTTTTTACTTCTACTGAAGCCAAATGTACAATGTATTTTTTGCACAATGTTTTGTTTGATATACAGAAAAAGAGCTTGGAATTGCAACGATACTACGTTTCTATTGTTGATTTGAGTAGAATCATCACTAGTCTTCTTAGCAAACTTAATGACCGATTGAAACAAAATTATTTTGGTTATCAAACGAAAATTCTATTGAATTCATTGCCCGATTCAGATCGAAAAAAACTGAATCAATCATTTATCGATTATGTGTCTAGTGTAATTAAATATATTGAGAAATATTATGATGAACAATCTGAATTGGCTGAATTAACTGCCGTTTTTGGTATGTTTTATTGTGATAATTAGATAAGAGAACAGCTTCATTTTTCTAGGCATACGTGAAATCGATCAAATAAAATTTCATCAAATTGAAGAGTGTGTCGTTTTTCTCAAGTTGGAAATTGATCATGATAAATTATTCGATGAATTGAATATTTTACAATCCACATTCAAAGAAGTCAATTCATATCGTGAACCATTGAGTGATCAAATTCGAAAATATATCGGTGATGATGCTCATAATTTCAGTGGAGATATAATCAATGATCAAAGTAATGAATCACAGGATGAAGAAGATCTTTTTCATAAACCAACAATTGAAATTCATGAAAAAGAAAATCAGATTCGATCTGATCAACTGTGGGCATATCTGCTCACAAAATCAACAACTTTATTCAGCGAAATGACGAAAGTTCTTGCCTATGTTTATTCGATTCCTTGTTCAAATGCATTTGCTGAAGGTGTCTTCAGTCATATGAAGCACGCATGGACACCAAGTCGAAACTCGATGACGACTGAAACAATTGCTACTGAATTAAAGATAAGATTAAATAGCAAAATAAAATGTGAAGATTTTTATTCTTTTGCACAATCTCAACCAGAATTGATTAAATCTGCTAAAAGCAAGCAGAAATACAGTTATGTAAAAAAACGTGTATTAGCTAATGCAAACAGAGAAGATTTACTTTAAGTGAATATTTTTTATTGTTTTTTGAACAGATATATGTCGAAAGAAAAAATGTATTTGTGAACTACTTGTTTCGAAATAAATATTAGAATTTAAATACTATTTTCAAAGCCGAGACAAAATTGGAAACAATCTTTTTACGCTAAAAATCCTTTTCAAAATCGATT